TTTTTTTAATGAATGAATAATATCATGAATAATGAATGAATGAATTTCACTCATTATAATGAATATCATATTATGAATAAAAAGATATTTGATTTCATTTAAAAAAATTAACTGGTTTTTGAAATTTACTTAATTTGTAAAAATAAAAAATAATTTATATTATATAATATTATATAATATATAAAATTTTCTAACATTTACAATTACTCAAAACACTTATATTAATTGATAAAGAATCTCATTATTTTATAAAATTCAATTTATGAATAATATATATCTAAAATCTTATATAATTTATATTTTTTGTAGGATAGTTATATTTTTTAGATAGGAAAATAAAATATATTACATTTACATTTATATTTATCAAAATATTTATTTGTATTATATTGGAATGTTATATTTATAATAAAATTTCATTCATTATATTTAATATTAAATTTTTTACTTATTATCTAAGTAAATTTAAGACTATTTATGTTATTTAAAGTTTAAAATTATATATTTGTTACAATATTAAATTATATGTTTTTTTGTTTATGTTATTGTTAAATAAAATTAAAATATTATAGATGTACAGCATTTTCGAAAAGTTATACTTTGGTTAGAAGATCAAAAGATACGTCAGTATGATATACAAGATCGAAAAGAGTTGCGTGATATAAAAAATGAAAATTGGTCTAAAGCATTTGCTAAATACTGCAATGATGTTAAATGTCCAGTTTCAAATAATACTATGAATCAACTTGAATGGTTAATTGGATATGCAATCTGGTTGGAAGCAGAAAATAATAGTAAGTTAATAAATTAAGTTAATTTATGAATGAATATTATTAAAAATTGAATAAAATACTTAATATATATTAAATATTCAATATATGATTATCATATTTAAACTTTTCCATATACATAAAAGATTTTATAAAATTTTAGGTAATTATAGATATAAAAAAAGGATAATTTTAAGTATAAAAGAAAAGGACATGTTTTGACTTCAATGATTTTGAAATATATTGTCAATATAGAACAATTTTTATTTATACATATAACTGCTGTTCAACTTTAATTTTGAGATATTCGCAAAAATATTTTTTAAGATTACATATTATATTTTTAATTTAATGTTTAATTTGGATTAGATTAGGTTTAATAGGAATGTATGAAAATTTGAAAATGTCGGATCAAATTGATTGATCAGATCGATCAATGTTGGGTTGAAAATTTTTTTTGGAATCCAATCATTTTTATTTGTTTTTTTCATCATTTGAGAGAATTATCAAATATGTCCTCAAGAATTTTAAGAAGTCAAATCATATTTTGAATTTTAAAATACAGATTTAATTTGAATATAATTTTAAATAGTTTTCATAAAATAATTTTTTTATCTCAAAATTAAAATAATAGTAGAATAAAAAAATATATGAAAATTATTTTTTCGATTAATTAATGAACGATTTTTGATAATTATTACAAGCTCCAATGATCTTGATTTTGATATATTGTCGAAATCATCATTTTGAATAACTTTTCTTTACAATTTAATTATTAATTTTTTGCAATTTTTGAGATATTTTGATAAATATTTTAAAAACTATAAGAGACTGATGATTAAGTTATAAGAAAAAATTATTCAAGATGATGTCTTTAATAACATATCAATGACAAAATGATTAGAACTAGTTTTTTTAATTATGAATTAATTAATTTTTATAAATAAATTATTATTAAATTATTAAATTTAAATAAATTAATTTTTTTATATTTTTATTAATATTTTTAAAGCAAACATAATAAAATTAATATTGGAAAATATAGAAAAATTAGCATTTTTACATATAAATTTGAAATCACACATCTATCACTTATTTTGTGTTTATATTATTATAATATTATTTTGTGTTTCATATTTCATCTTTATAATTTTATCATTTATCATTTATTACCTAAATTTTGAATTAGAAAATATATAAAATTATTGGTCTATTTAACAAAACTAAAAAAGATTTCAAAATAAGATTTTGTGTTTTAAAATTTTCAAAAATCTTGATATAATTTTGATACATTTGAGAATCCTAATATTCTCAAATCGTAAAATATTTTCCGAAATCTAATGTATTCCGATTTGTTTCGAAGCATTATGTTTTCTATATTTTCGGGTTTTTGAGTTTTTGATTGTAGCACAATATTTGAGAAATATTTTATTTAAAATTATTAAAATTTTATTTAAATTTTTTTTCTAATTTTTTCTAATTTTGGATGTAAAAATGCATCATCAGCATATTGATACATTTTTCAAAATTGTGAGTGTGTTATATATTACAAAATCATGAAATTTAACAAACATGATTAATAAATAAATTATATATTTATTATATATTATATTATTATAGCATATTTTAATAATGTATTAAAATTTTAATATATAATTAAATTTCTAACGTTTGAATTCTATATATATAAACAATTATCTTATCAAAAACGTAAATTAATGTAACATAAACTAATCCAAATTCAATATTTTAATAATCTATAGAATTGGAAAATTGCATAAATAAA